ATAGCTCAAAGCTTACAAACTGGAACCATATAATGCCCTTATTTAAAACCAAACCAATATTCAAAATCCTAATTAAGCATGAACGAAATAACAAAGCATAAATAAGTTCGACACAAGAAACGAATACTCTCAATCACACCAATCTCTTGACAATGCGTATGCCAAATCCCTGAACTTCACATCATCAAGCTAACTTGTGCAATACTGCTCCCCAACAATACAAGTGTAATAATTGGATCATCACAGAGACATGAAAAAGCGAAGGCCATGACCTAAAGAAAACACACACCTAGCCAGTTCGGTTTAATCCATCTTTATTCAACATACTAACAAGTCATGCTTGAGTAATAATACAATAATAATAACCTCATGGAAAATTAATAAATTCATTCCACTTTAACCATTCAATTCCAATCCTTCAATAATCCAAATGTGGTTATCAAACCAATCCAATAAAAATATGCTTATATCAACATTCCAAACAAACCATTAATCCAATTCAACATGCTTGTATAATTTCATACAAATATAATCAATTTACCAAAACATGTCTTATAAACATAAGCACATGCAATAATTCAATGTATGACCAAACAAATTCTGTTCAAGTATTCTATAAACATGAAACTAAGTTCTTCTCATTCAGTGCCTAAAAATGATACTACTTGCAACGAATTAGATATGTACGTACCTCGTGTAAACAATTCTTTATGCCACTTTTAAGTTTTAACCACTTAAAACTCTCCTAGGAAGTAATCTTCTCCTAGAAAACAACCAACAATTAATGATTAATTTCTAAACTAATTTCTAGCAATATAATTTTATTAAAAACCTCTTAAAATTTCCTTAAAAAATGTATTTATGCCTGATTATTGATTAGAAATTCAATAGGTACAAAAACCCCAATTTAATTGCACCTAAGAACCCTAAAATCCCAATTTCAATAATTAAAACCCTAGGTTTTAAAATTCATAAAATCTGAAAAATTATAACATAATTATAATCTGAAATTATAACTTTAAATTATGAAAATATAGTTTTTCTAACTAATAAAACTAAGGTAAAATTGTCAAAAATAATACAACCTTTAAGTGGTCCGCCAAAAACAAGTCAACCTTTTGATTATTTTTAAATAATACAACCTTTGAGGCGTTTCCGCTTTAAACAAGATAGTTTACCTGCAACCTAGATAATCGGTCTAATAATTTATTTTATTTTTTAAAAGTGTGTTTAAAAGTTTAATTAACTTATAAATAAAAACTTTAATTATGATTAATAAATAATGATTAACATAATAAAAATAATTAAGAAAAAAAGACCCACCCCCTTCCCCGACCAGCCACCACAATACCTTCCATGGCTCCCTCCAGCCACCTCCATCGGTGTCTAGCCCAACCCCCTTCCTCCAACGACCCGTTGTCCTTTCCCCTACCCCTGCCATCGTTTCCCCTTGAAAAAAGTGTCATAATTACAAACAATATTAATCAATAATGTAGTACACAAGTTCAAACTGAAATGAAATTTACAAATGAAATGTGATGAAGGACGCCAACATATCTCGAACTTCATGAAGTTCTTCGCTCGTGAACGGACGTCCCGTTTGTCCCTTGCAAAACTTAGAATAAACAAAGCGTAAGTTAGGAGTGAATTACTTATTAGGTTATATATGCATGTAAAAATACATTTACAATTAAGGCCTATTTGACTACTATGATGCCTATTTCCCACGTTTCTTGTCTAGTGAACTCATACTAACACATAACATGTCATTATCACTTATTTATAGGTGGCTAAGGGTTAAAATTACAAGAAAAGAGCAATATAGGGGTTTTAGAATGAATTTTCATCCAAAATGACCCAAGTAAGGCCTATTTGACTACTATGATGCCTATTACAAGATATAGTCAATGGTATACCTCTTCAAGCTGTTGTGTGTCTGTACAATGATTCACTATGTCAAACATGAATCTCATTACGTATAGGCCACAATCAACTCCGTTATCTTGTTGTGCGCATTAGCATAAGGATCAAAGTACATGAATCAAACATGCATAGCAAAATAAGCAACATCTTACGCATTGTTTAATTATTACAAAAATCTGAATATCATGTGGCATTACCTTCGGTGATTTCCATGTAGGACCTCGAGGAGATCTACAATTTATCTTCTTCATAACACTGTATAGAAAAGTAAGTTCAAATTTGATTAGTATGAGTAATAAATGAGTTAGGTTATGATAATCAAAAACAAGAATTGAAGCTATATTTACTTTTGCAGTATGGACTTCACGAGGCGCTTTCTTGGTTGAGGTGAGCGAGCAGAATAAAAAAGGAAGATTATGTTACTGGAAACACAAATCACCAGCAGGGTCCAATGCAAACTACATACATACATTCACAAGAGACAAACAAATCAATAATTAGCCATGTACAACATATAAACTGGGGAAACAAATGAATTTGACATAATCAGACGTACTCCTCATAATATGGGGCGAATATACACTTGTCTCCCGCACACACTGATTCCTTGATACCCCGTTCAACATAGTACAACACGTCAGCGTGGTTGCCTAAGATTCTAGCAGTGGAGATCTGCTCAGGGCATAACCACCCAATTTGACACGGGGAATCTATCTCCCATAAGTGCTCCTGGATTGCTCTGCATGCATGATAATAGAATGTTAATGGAAAACTTCATGACAATCACCACTAAACTGAATAACAAATTGAGTGTAGTTGAATTACTTGATGCATATTTGAATGAGGGAAATGTTAAGCATTGCACCACTTAGAAATTCCGTCACATCTTCTTTGAATAGCCATGCCATTGTATCCTCATCATAGTGGAACATTTCCTTAGGTAGTGGAACTTCAATGGGGCTGTCACTAGGCAACACGCAAACACGGTTGTACAGATAAGTTAACTCCTTAGAGAGAGATTGAAGTACCGTGTCTTCAACTAGTGGAGTAGCTTGCATAGCTGAACCTCGCGCAGAGCTCTTATTCGATGCTTTTTCACTCACCGAGCCATGTTCACTCCTCTTCTTTGGCATCGGTTGATCAATGCTTTTTGGCCCTCCACCCTCTTCTTTGGAGTTTGGCTTTTCCTCGATGGCTAATAAGACAAATCACACAAATGGTTAGAAAAGAATTTCATCCAACTCTTGGGATGAAAATCGGGTATAGAGTAAAGCGTGAACTTTAAATCTTAATTACCTGGTTCATCAACCGTATCCAAGCACATGGTCATTGCACAAAACTACCTTTTGCTGCCCAAAGTGTAGTAAACTCATCCTCCTCTGCGGACACAGGTTTTAGGATGTCCTCGAACCCGACAACCACAGAATTGATCCCGACAGAATAATGTTGTGGCCTAAGCGGTCGCAAATGGACCGTACCTTGTTCGGCCGGTTGTGCACTACCATATGCAACCACATTCAAAGCACCACTATGTGATTCGCCCGGGTGAAGAAGTTCACAACGGGTCTCTTCCTACACAAAAAAAAGTCAAACAAAAAAAAGTAAAGAAAAAAAAATAAAAACCAAAACAACATACTGGAACAAAAAACAGCAACAGCGACAAACTGCAATGTTGATGCTGTTGCGGATCTGCTGACTGCAATACTGATCTGCTCAGCTGTCTGCTGTTCTACTGACTGCAGTGCAGTTTTGCTGACTGCACTGCTGTTCTGCTGACTGCACTGCTGTTTTGCTGACCGCACTGCTGTTTTGCTGACTGCACTGTTGTTCTGCTGACTGCACTGCTGTTCTGCTGACTGCACTGTTGTTCTGCTGACTGCACTGCTGTTCTGTTGACTGCACTACTACTCAGCTGTTCTGATGTGCCTGCTGCTAGGGGTGTACACCGGTCCAAAACCGGACCAGACCTGTTTGGACCGGGGACCTGAATTAGGTAATTTTGAGGACCGGGGACCGGACCTGATTTAACAGGTCCGGTTCCGGGCCAGACCTGAAAAATCAGGTCCGGTTCCGGGCCAGACCTGAAAAATCAGGTTCGGTCCGAGCTTGGACCTTAATGGACCTGTTTTGTGATTTTTTCGTTTTTTTTTTAATAAATAACCTGTTGGACCTGCATATAAACCTGTTTTGTGATTTTTAGACCTGTTGCATAATTTAATAATTACATACAAACCAAAATTATCAATCACAAAACTACATAACGTCTATAAATTCCCAATTCACAAACACCAAAAATACAAATGAGTCCACCGAAAATACAAATGAATCCACGAAAACTCATAACATTACATTGCAAGAATAAGAATTCGTGGTTCCTTCACTCCCTTGTTAGCCCTGGGCAAGTCTGCAAGAATAAGAACAAGAATAAGTAATTAACTAATGTCCACAAAACTCTCCAAGCCACGAAAACACCACCCAAAGCCATGAAAAACACCACCCTAAGCCATGTAAAACACCACCAGCCATGAAATGCTGTTGCGGATCTGCTGACTGCAATACTGATCTGCTCAGCTGTCTGTTGTTCTACTGACTGCAGTGCAGTTTTGCTGACTGCACTGCTGTTCTGCTGACTGCACTGCTGTTTTGCTGACCGCACTGCTGTTTTGCTGACTGCACTGTTGTTCTGCTGACTGCACTGCTGTTCTGCTGACTGCACTGTTGTTCTGCTGACTGCACTGCTGTTCTGTTGACTGCACTACTACTCAGCTGTTCTGATGTGCCTGCTGCTAGGGGTGTACACCGGTCCAAAACCGGACCAGACCTGTTTGGACCGGGGACCTGAATTAGGTAATTTTGAGGACCGGGGACCGGACCTGATTTAACAGGTCCGGTTCCGGGCCAGACCTGAAAAATCAGGTCCGGTTCCGGGCCAGACCTGAAAAATCAGGTTCGGTCCGAGCTTGGACCTTAATGGACCTGTTTTGTGATTTTTTTCGTTTTTTTTTTTAATAAATAACCTGTTGGACCTGCATATAAACCTGTTTTGTGATTTTTAGACCTGTTGCATAATTTAATAATTACATACAAACCAAAATTATCAATCACAAAACTACATAACGTCTATAAATTCCCAATTCACAAACACCAAAAATACAAATGAGTCCACCGAAAATACAAATGAATCCACGAAAACTCATAACATTACATTGCAAGAATAAGAATTCGTGGTTCCTTCACTCCCTTGTTAGCCCTGGGCAAGTCTGCAAGAATAAGAACAAGAATAAGTAATTAACTAATGTCCACAAAACTCTCCAAGCCACGAAAACACCACCCAAAGCCATGAAAAACACCACCCTAAGCCATGTAAAACACCACCAGCCATGAAAACACCACCCCAAAACAGAAAAAACAAAAATTAAACAGAAAACACCACCCCGAAGTCCCGAATAACTCCACGGTCTCCACCCCCAAAATAAAAATAGAAAAAACAGAAGAAAAAAAATAAAAATAATAATATGGTATTGCAATCTTGCCTTTTAATATTATGTTGTGGTTGAGAACATATAGACTAAAGAGATATATGGAAGTTAGAATAGTCCACCAACTTAAGTTTAAACCTACCATCTTTTATACTTCATATAAACAACAGTGACAGTGCAGAGTCGCCGAGTACACATCTTCCATACTACAGACTAGTATACATACATATAAATATATAATAGAGTATGCAAAGCTCTCTTGATCACAACACTATAGAAAACAAGCCAAATAATGGTTATTACTGATTATACTTGTTACAGGATACATAACCAAAGAAGGGAAGAACCAGAGAGGCAGAGACTAAGCATAAACCAAAATTTCTTAGCATCAGAGGCTGAATACAAATTCTTGTAGAAATTCTCAGCTAAAGCCTTTTCTGAATCACTACAGCATAATCAGACTATGTTGAATTTACATTTTTCAATAGTTTAGGTCATTAGGTGTTACAACAATAAGAAAAGAGAAATAGAGCGGATCATAATCCGGTAATATATACGAAAAAGTAAACATCAAAACTTTTCATAAAGAAAAGTATCAAATTGAGGATTGGTGATAGAATGAGACATAGTTTAACATCATTAAATGTTAAATATTTGTACTTTAAATCGCAATCACAATACTTAAGATTAAGTTTAACAAACCCAAATTAATCAAAAATTACAAAACCCAGAAATCCAGAATGAACAAAAATTCGACGAAAAAAATCGAAAACAATAAAACCCACATATATAAATTTGAACAAAAATTAAACCCACATAAATAAAATTTAACGAAATAAAACCACATATATAAATTCGAAAAAAAATTAAACAAGAACATGAACACCAATACACCATAATTCGGACAAGAACAAAAGAATAAAGAATAAATTAAACATGCAAAAACTTACCGGAGATTCGCGCGGTGGCTATCTGGCTGAGTGGCTGATGTAGCAAGCCTTGGGCGCCTGGGCGGTGGGCGTCGCCTGAGAGAGTGAGGAAGGCAGGAGGTGTCGCCGAGACAGTGAGAGTGAGGGACATTGGAGCCTTGGAGGCAAGTAGCGAGTTAGGGGAAGTTAGGGTTAGAAGTTAGAAAAGAAAATAAAAACTGAAGTGTTTTTGATTTTTTTTTCTTTAAAAATGCAATTTTTCCGGGTTTCAGGTCCGGACCTGAAACCCCCGGTTTTAGACCGGGTCCGGACCGGGACCGGAAACCTTGATTTTCAAGGACCGGGACCGGACCTGAATCAACGGGTCCGGGTCAGGTCCGGTCCGGATCAGGTCGGTTAAGGTCCGGTTTCAGGTCCGGTCCAGTTTTTGTACACCCCTACCTGCTGCCCTGCTGCCTGCTGTCCTGCTGCCCTCTGCCTGCTGCCCTACACAGCACTGCACAACAACATAGCAGCAACACAGCGCAGCACGAAAACAGCAATAGCAGCAACATAACAGCAATAGCAGCAACATAAATACAATAGCAGCAACCCAACAGCAGCATAACAGCACCAAAACAGCAGCCAAAAAGCAACACAGAAGCAGCAGCACGTAAACAGCAGCAATACAACAAAATAGCAGCAGAACGCATACAGGCAGCAGCAACACAGCAAAACAACACAGCAACAACAACAGCACAGCAGCAACAGTAGACAAACAGCAACACAACAACACCCAACAGCCAACAGCAAACAGCAACACAGCAGCATAGCAACATCAATAGCACAGCAAAACAGCAGCAACACAGCAACACCGCAACAGCAACACATCACAGCAACAACATAGCACAACAACAGGCAGCACAAAGCAACACATAAAACCGCAACAGAACCTTGACAAACCCAAACAACCGAGTAGCCAACAAAAAAATAGAGGTGCAAAGCACAGCATACAAATCAGCAACCAAGAAGCAACACAGAAACAAATGTAGCAGCTGACTCCATCCATATAAAGACACAACACAGCAAACTTCACCATTTCACAGCACAATCAAAGAACCAATATCACCATCCAAACAAATAAGTAAACAAATCACCTGTAGATGTAGATTTGGAAAGCCATGAGGTGTTGGATTTTCAAACTCCCTCGAGTACGCATGTGAAGGATTACCAACCTGCAACAGTATATTGATAGTGCCACCTTAATAGAACCCACGTAACTCAACATATCAAAACTTATAGATTTGAAACCACCTGATCATGTACCTCCTCGCCTGCATGTATCTCATCTTCTCCTTCTTTTCGTGGGTGACTACATGAGTCGACCGGTGTAGTCGAAGAGAAAGGCAAGCCCGGCAAGTTCATTTGCTTCGCCCAAACATTGAACTCTTCTCGCATCTCGTTGCGCACTTGTTCTTTAATTGATGCCACCGTGGCATCCAAGTTATGTGGTGAGTTCACACTTGCTCGGGATCTTCCTGATTTGGTATATTCGGGACCCATTACCTTCTCCCATCCTAGCAAGCTCCCCCAGCACCCAATACCCGTCCTGGATGGTAGGGCTTTCCCAGAGCCAAGGTGAAGGGGTCCTTCTCTACTGTTGGGACGAGCTTGCCTTCAACAAGCTCTCTAGTGTACTCAAGCAGTAGCAAAAACAAAATGGCAACATGAAGTTAGTGTTTATGTAAAGTGATATATTTGCAAAAGATTACTGTAGTTCACTAGTTCATAGTTGCTTACAAGTTTATCTGCCATTTCTTTGGTTTTCGGAGCCTTGATGGGCCATTTTCCGGTTTTCTTGTCACGCGATTGCAGAGAACAAAAGAAATCGCCAGCACGACTCACCAAAGTATTGGTCGTGGAGTCAAAGGGCACTTTGGAGGACCCTAGAAGCGCAATGGGGTATACTCCCTCACTCACCCACGTCTCCCTCCATTCATCAAACGTCATACACCCCATACGATGGTAGTATTGCTTCTGCAATGCATAATTAGACATGTTAGTTTCATTACTACTAAAAGAGTAAATATATTCTACAATTGTCATCAGAGTTCTTTAAACTTATAATTGCTTCTTTTTGACTTTTTTGAAGAACGAAAGCTTCCCAATCATCTTTCGATACGCTAGGCCATATTTTCCATGGGAGTTTCTCTTCATCGATGACTTCATCATCACTGCCACCTCCTTTCTTGTTCTTTGGTTTTCTCACAAGTTTCTTTGTGATAAACCGACGAACTAAGGTAGTCTTGAAGCCTCTGAATCTTGCCGCAAGTAAGGATTCAAACACCCTTCGCTTGGCGTACTCATTTGGAATATTAAATAGACTCTGCAAGCACAAATAACAGACATTATTAGTTTGCCCATTACATAACAATAAATTGAAAGTGTTTATAAATGTGCAAGCAAAAAACTTGCCTTAGTATCATTCCAAAACGTGTCAATCAAGCCTGTAGGTACGTCGCTCATACGAAGCGTAATGGGGATTTTCCGCGCACAAATCCCAACTTGAACAGCATACTGACGACGCCATTTGCCTGTAGGTTGGCCTACCCTGTCATACTCCAAGACCATTGGACCGACAGGTTTCTTGAAACTTGTCGTCGGACCCCTCATCTTTTTCTTCGCTGGTGCCTCCACCCCCCCTCCACTTTGATTCTCATGAAATGTCTCAAAATTTGCATTATCGATAGGAGGCGCTTGTTCAGCTGAAATTTCAAACTCATCTAGCACACGCTCCAATACATCTTGAGTCTAATCTTCTAGCTCACCCAAATCAGGTTCCTTGTTCACATCATACAGCTCGTCCCCATCCTTAGATGAATCATCATCATCATCCTCTACATCCTCAACTCCAATACGGTATTGATCGTCCGCCATGAGATGTTAAAACCTGTCATTATCAACATAACACGTTATTAGTTGCTGAATTGTAAGGTAAACTTATAATCATATATAAATTGCTGAATTATAATACAAATAAACATAGAAAATGGGGAAGTAAGTTACTTCATTCATTTAGAAGAAAATAAGAAAAATGGGCAAGTAAGTTAACAATTTCATTCATTTTCACCTAAAATGTGATTTAATAATACTTTCTACGCCTACAATTCAAACTAACAGAAAATAGTACCTCAATCTAATATTCCTTCATCGTGGTCTGATAGCATGTAATTGGCTTAGTCGTCTATCTCATTTGGTACAGCAGGTCTAGGAACAGTGAAAGGTGCCGAGTCATCAAACGCATCATATTCTTCCTCATCCTCGACATCTCTAACGCAAAGGAATCTTCTTTTGCCGGCTAGCACAATAGACCATTTTGAGTCGGCTGGGTTAGTTACGTAAAACACTTGCTTAGCTTGAGATGCAAGGATGAATGGTTCCGCACTATCATTCAGGTTGCCAAGATCCACAAGATTAAAGTCATCATATTTGACGTTACGCCTGATATTATCAACCCACTTACACCGGAAAAGAGCAATTGTGAATTCACAATAATCAAGCTCCCATATCTCTTGAATTCGATCGTAGTGTGACAACTCTGCATCAACGGGTGATTTATCCTTAGCACTTGCAAACTCCCTTGACGATGCCACAAGCGTTACACCACTGTTTTGGGTCGAGGATGATTTCAAATCCTGACGCTGAGTCCAAAATGTGTACCCATTTACGTCATATCCCTCAAATGAGCGAACATCATCCCTAGGACCATAAGCAAGCCACCTTACTATATCTGTGACACTCTCATCCATTCCACCCATCACTCGATCACGGAACCAACTCACAAACTTCTTATTATGCAACTGCATCAATGCCCTTTCACCTTTCGATGGAAATTCATCACGCAAACTAGCCATGTGCTCGTCTAAATATGAGTGAACATCTGCAACATGGTGCAACACATATAGGTGTGCTTGTAAGAACTTATCTTGATCAAGTGACATTCGTTTCGACCCGATTGTGCCATGACCATCAAGTCTCTCTTCATGTTGAGAAGTAGGAATACCAATAGGTTCAGCAACGGCTATATAGTCGGCCACAAAATTACCAATCTCCTCAGCCACTGTCCCTTGAATCATACTTCCTTCCGGGTTAGCCCGATTCTTGACTTTATCTTGCAATGTACCCATGTGTCTTTCAAAAGGATAGCACCACCTCATGAACAATGGACCGTACAACTTAATCTCACGCACCAAATGAAGAATCAAATGCACCATTATGTCGAAAAACGAGGGTGGGAAGTACATCTCAAATTTGCACAAAGTCACAACCACATCCGCCTGTAAAGCATCAAGTGTACAAGGATCAAGCACTTTACTGCATATTGTATTGAAAAACAAACAGAGGCTTGTAATAGCTTCCCTCACGTGCTTTGGTAAAATACCACGTATTGCAATTGGTAGGAAAACTTGCATCATAACATGACAATCATGGGATTTCATACTTGTCAGCTTCAATTCTCCATTTAAGGATACAAATCTTTTCATGTTAGATGCGTACCCTGTTGGAACCTTAATGCCACATAGACATGCACAAAACATCCGTTTTTTTCTACCCTTGACAATGTGTAGCAATTCGGAGGTAAATAAGCCTTGTCCTCCTTGGCTTTTCCCTCATATTTCTTCTTCGACGCATCCCTGGCCTTTCCCTTTCCCTTGCTCTTCCCCTTGCCCTTTTTCAAACCCATTTCATTTTCCTTTTCCTGTTCCTTTCCCTTACTAACCCTTTGCTGAACCCACAATTCTGGATGCACCCCCATCTTTTTCAAATCTAACCGTGCACCCTTTCCGTCCTTTGTCTTGCTTTGAATATTCATCAGCGTTCCCACAAGAGCATCATACACATTCTTCTCTATATGCATAACATCAAGACAGTGCCTAAGGTCATGTTCTTTCCAGTACGAGAGCAACCAAAAGATTGATTCTTTTTTAAAGAGAGCAGTTGAGTCCGCTGCTTTTTCAGATTTCCCAAATACTGTTTGTACACCCTTAAATCGAGCATAAACCTCCTCACCAGTCAATGGCCTAGGCGCAGTCCCCTCTTCCGCTGTCCCATCGAAAGCCTTTTTCTGCCTACGGTACGGGTGATCGCGCATGAGCAACCTTTTGGTCCGCAAGTACACCTCTTTGTGAGAATGATCAAGGCGTCTGCTTGGCGTATCATCAATAGAAATGGGGCATGCTTTTTTCCCTTTGTTCTTATACCCATACAAGTTGCCATATGCAGGAAAATCATTAACGGTCCACATAAGAGCTGCACGCAATGTGAACATCTCATTCTTATGAGCATCAAACACGGAAACCCCTTCGTCCCGCATCTTTCTCAAATCATCAACAAGTGGCGCAAGATAAACATCTATGTCATTTCCAGGTTGCCTTAGCCCCGATATCAAAAGTGAAAGCATTACATATTTCTGTTTCATGCACAACCAAGGAGGCAAATTGTAGATCACTAAAAGTATCGGCCATGCGTTGTGCTGGGTACTAAGAGTGCCAAATGGATTCATCCCGTCCGTGCACAAACCAAGCCTTAAATTTCTGACTTCATCACCAAATTCCCCAAACTTCATATCAATGTTCTTCCATTGTGGGGAGTCGGCTGGGTGCTTCAGCATTCTGTTTTTCTTTCTTCCCTCTGCATGCCACCTCAAGTTTTTAGCGTCTTTTGGTGTTGAGAACAGACGCTTAAATCTTGGATTAATGGGAAGATACCACAACACCTTAGCAGGAGGTCCCTTCGTACCAACATTGCAACTCATGCGCTTGTAGCGCGACTTCTTGCATCGTGGACACTCCTCCAATTGTTCATATTCATTTCGATAAAGAATACAATCATTTGGACATGCATGTATCTTCTTATAGTCCAAACCAAATGGACACATGAGCTTCTTTGCGTAATAGTAAGACTTAGGAATTTCATTCCCATTGGGCAACATCTCACTTAACACGGTCAACAAAGAAGAAAACTATTGTTCATCGACCCATGCTTCGACTTAATGTTAAAAAGTGTTAGCACGGTTGATAGTTTGGAGTATTTTTTGCACCTAGGATACAAAGGCTTTTTAGAAGCCTCCGATAATGACTCAAACACGTCACCTTCAAAACCACGCATCATCTCATCCACCCCTTAATCCTCGAGCTCATCCTCAAATCCATCCTTAGCACCATTATCAACAATATGTTCATCATTCTTGTATTCCTCGTCCACACGAATGTCATTGCTTCTATCATCATGCACATCATTCCCAATAACATCCCCACTGTACTCTCCTTCTTCACCGTGCCAAATCCACACAAGGTATTTAAGCCTAAACCCACGATAAACTACATGATCTCTAATGATATCAACACTATTGACCACCTTCACATTATTACAATCAACACAAGGACAATAGAGGCAATCGAAACCCATTCTGCACTGATAAGATGAAGCCCTCTCGCAAAACTCTTGAACCCCATCAAAGAATTCCAATGTATCACGTCTACCATACATCCAGCCACGATCCTTCTCCATTAAGTAAATTGTCTCTAAACATGGCAACATATTACGAATAATGTATAATTGCTACATCTATTATATATGTAAATCAAATTCAAACACACACCATGCATATAACATTCATATAGATACAAAAATGCATATATGCTTCCAAATGGTCCTTATCACTCCAACCTAACCCATCCTTGAACGTTTACTCTCACTAGTGAATGTATGTCGAATTTCCAATTTTAAGGAAAATCCGGCAGCATTTCCCCCAGTTCTCCAAGTACACGATGTAGGTAATAACTTACCCACATATGTACCCAGAGAACATGGTGATCGAGGAAATGGTAAGCTAAGATGTTCCTTAAATCGAAAAAAAAGACATACATTCACCACCTAAGTGAGAGTAAACGTTCAAGAACAGTCCCAACCGGGGACTATTCAAGACTTTCTCCTAATGAGAAAGCCTTGAACGGGTATCTAGGCATATGATGATGCAAGCATTTCATATATTTATTGTTGTATTTAGTTTGTCATTATATAATACACAAGTCTAATAGCTAGCATGAAAAAACTTTTATTAAAACAATAATAAAGAGAAAGAAATATTTATAGCTTAGAGAAGTTTATAACTCATACCAATACAATGGATGTATTCTTTCTAACTACCCACTTGAGCTAAATATGTAGTCTTCAAGCTAAACTTGAACTTCAATTCACATATGAATCTATAAAAACGCAAAAAGAAAAAACAAAACAAAAAACAAAAGTTAGTGAGTATGTATGAGAAATGGAAAACAAATACAAATAGGGGCATATGATTAAGGAATGAGAGAGAAAATGGTTTTATGACTAGAAAATCAAATCCTTTAAAAAAATGGTACAATGGTACTACCTTCTCCTAGTATGACTAGCAAATCAAATCCTTTAAAAAAATTTCCTTCACTATTATTTCAACACAATGTCCACATTCTAAATGATGGCATAATTCCAAATAAAAGAAAGCTTGTGACATTCTTAAATATCCAAGGTCTTCATGAACAAAAATACAAACAAGCCACCACAAATTTTCCAAGTTGAAATGTACCTGAAACTGGCGCCTTAGACTAACCGTGACAAGAAGCTAGGTCGTTGTGGAGGGGGAGCAATGCACGTCTATTGACAAACCCTAGATTACAATAAAATTATAATTACTAAATTGAAAACCAAATCTTCAAAAAACTCAAGAGTACGAAGGAATTCATCAATGGAGTAAGTAAAACCTAATTTGCTAACTACTTACCTTGAAGCTGCTTCAATGGAGGAGAGATGGGTATGGAGTACGAAGGTCCGGTATCTGCTTCAATGGAGGTGAGAAAGCTCGCACAGCCCTTCAATGGAGGTGAGAAAGCTCGCACAACCCTTCAATGGAGATGGAGGGAGAATAGAAGAGGGATTGCGTGGGAGTTGAAGACAAAACGAATTGAAGGAATGAGGAAGAAAGACGTTGTTAAACCTACAGCTGAAGCAAGCCCGCGTTTTTTTTTCAAAATGGCACCGGTTTAAACCGGTGGTAATGCCCTTAATTCGCACCGGTTTAAAGAGAACCGGTGCCAATGCTTTCCCAAACTTTTTTTTTTTTTTCATAAGTTGGCACCGATTTGAACCGGTGCTAATTAAATGCTTGGCACCGGTTTTGGTTTGAATCGGTGCCAACTCTTAATTTTAAGTCCCGCCCATTTATTTTGGCACCGGTTTTCAAGAACCGGTGCTATAGGGGGGTGCCTATTTAGTTTTTTCTACTAGTGGCGATCTTCTTATTTCAGTCAAAAGAAATGTATACTAACGCATAATAGATCAATAGTACACATGTACAATTTGTCTGAATATGTGATATGTAGCCAATTGGATCACACACTATATATTTACTTTTTTTGTCTAAAACATGTGTTCTCCTACTATGGTAGATCCAATTATTGGCTTTGGGACAAAGATGCGATTCAAATTGCCTCATTATTTTATTTTTCCGTGAAGGGTATTTAACTTATATTTATACTATCTCCGTTTCTTATTATTTGTGAGATAGAAGTATAAAATATTTCTTTTCGCAAAAACAAAAAGACACAGAGGTAGTATACTAGTACGTGTTATTATTCCTAGGGTCTTACAAAAACTCATTTTATTTTGTTGTTTTTGCAATTTTCTAATGATCAACAAAAAAACAAATGATTTTGCTCATGGCTAAATTTATGAATATCGGTTAGACTTTAGAGAGACTCTAGATGTCAGTTTGTATATGCATTTCTTTGTTTTGTGACAAAATTCTTCATTTACCCATTTAATTAAAGTATTGATCGAATTGGATTACTGAACTTCTTGCAAACTACAATTCATTCATTCTACAAACATAGAGAAAGTTGGAAGTTTTTGAGGACTTGAGAAAAAAATAGAAAGGAAATACAAGGGAAGAAGCTAGAAGAAAATAGGTTTCTTGTCACTCTTTGAAGTGTCACCAATGCCTATTTTGCAAGTGTTAATAATCAGTGGATTAGGAGCCTTTTTGGCAACTGGATATTGTAATACGGAGTATTTTGAATGCAGATGCTAGGAGGCCCTTGAATAAGGTAAGTCCCGCGACTATATTTTATGTACTCGTACATATTTATTTGTTTTTCATACAGATTGTGGATCGGAATTCTTTCCAGTAATTAAATTGTCCTATCGGGAGGAAATAGAAGGCGATATAGGATAAATTACATACATATATAGATTCATTCTAGTGTACTTTATCGCCTAATTTTGGAGGAATATAACGTACAAGAAACGAATCAACAAAACAAATGTTGAAATGCAGGTAGTTTACGTGGTTTTCACTCCAGCACTCATGTTTGCAAGTCTTGTCAAGACTGTAACGTTGACATCGAGTTGGGTGGCTTGCCCGAGAGCCAATCCTGGAAGTTGTTTAGAAACCTAGCATTTAAAGAGGAGATCCACATTTGACAATCGTAGGCAAAGAGATAGTCAAGAAGTGTGCCAATGTTCCTCTCGCAATAAGGACTATTGCGGGTCTTCTTTATTCTCAGGATACTCTGCAAGAATGGGAGTCTTTTAGGGACGCAAAACTTAGAATGATGGAACAACAGGAAAATAGTGTCATTTCAACAACTTTGAAGCTGAGTTACATTCACCTAACACCACAATTACAACAGTGCTTTGCTTATTATAAATTGTTTCCAAAGGATTATGAAAACTAAACAAGCAGAACCTGATATACTGTTGGATGGCACAAGGGTTCATTGAGCCGATGGATGGAAGTCTTCAAAATCCCGATGGATGGAAGACTCAAGCAAATCACCCAACAAGATATGAAGAGATCACATAATATAATAATTTTTTTTATAGATTGAAGAGGGGAAGTGGCAGAGTTGGTTTTTAAAATTTAACCACAATTCTCCGGAACCTCATCATACTCGGTTTCTAGCAAAACGCGACTAACTTTGGAAGCACCATGCTGAAACAAAAATATGGCGAATAGCCTAATATGACATTAGGAATTTAGTTATGGAGATATCATTGAGTATCTGCTTAAAATTAAGGCATATTCATTTCATTAAGAGAAGGTTCATTATGTTTCAGACTATCAGTAGTTATTCGCTAAAAGACTAACTCAGCAAGGAATTCACAAGACACTCCATTTATGTTGCAATCCTTCACAAATTCTTGCAATACACCATGCGGCACTCATCGGATAACCTGAGACTGCAAATTTTATGCAGAAAATTGATAGTTATTTCAAATTGATGACATAAGAGTGCATTAAAACAAGCAAACAACTAATAGAGCATGCCCATTTTGCTTAGTCGAAAAATGGGAGTATTTATATATTATTATACATTTTAGTCACAAGTAGAGATAGGACTCACTGCACCTAACAATCTTCCATGAAGAGAGAGGGCTCTAATTTATTTTTTCTTAAATAAAAAATAGTTTAAACAACTAGAACCCTAAATTACTTAAAAAGTTTGAATCATAGCATATATACAATGGAAATCTTATAAAGACCATAAAATTAGTAAAAATAATAGTGTACTATTCATATACAAAGTATTATTAACTATACCCAAGACATTCTCACCCTGATCCATTGGGCTTTCACAAATTATTAATCACTGAGGTTGGCAAGTCTAATTCATGAAAGACAACTTGACACCAAAACCTACTCATTTGCACATAAAATTTTCAGTGTACTAGAAGGAAAACGAAGTAATATACAGCAACCCTTCACTACTATATGAGTTTATCGATGTCTCCACTAACTTTTATGGCAGTTCCTGGATGCCTCAATAACTCCCAAAGTCCAACTTATAATAAACCTTATTAAGGATTTAAGAACTAATCCTAAGTAGAATTGTATAACATACATAATATATAAGAGAGAAGGTTTTCAATAATAGTTTAGAACTAGATTAGTACTCGCGCGTTGCACGGTGGTGATAAGCAATTTTTTTCATATTTCTTTTATATCTTTTGTTGTTGATAACTTTTTAACATGACTTAGCTCGCTTTTTATTTTGTAAAAATAAAGTTTGTTACTCTATAAATATTTTTAAAAGAAAAAAAAACATGTACATCATTCTTTATATTTTTTTTAATGATTATAATTTAATGCTACATCATAATATTTACTATGTTATTGAAAATATACTAAAATTTACTAAAATGATTGTTAGAAAAAATATACTATGTATAAAATATTGCATTATCTAATGAGCTTATACATTTAGAGTGGAAGCACAACAATATTGATGTCAAAGTCAGGTTCGGATTTTTAGTTTCATACCTACTTGTTCTAGTTTCTAGCAAATAAAATGATAAGGCAAAAAAAAAAAAAATGATGACGTCATATGTAAATTTGGAGGGAAATTTTTTAATGAGAGCTTGACACATAAGACATTTAGGAATTGATGACATCAACATGTTTTGTTTTAGTAATAGTTAATGGATGTTGAGCATCGATAAGGAGGTAAGCAAGTGAAGGTAGAACAGCAGAAGAAAGGATTAAGTGGAATTTAAATATAGGTTCAGAAAGGAAGAGTGAGCACCAGGCACCATTAGAGATTGAGGGTAAAGGAGAGAAAGGGGTTGGTAAAGGAAGCAGAGGGAAAAAAAGGGAGCAAACTCACAAACCAATATCATTAATATAGAACTTGGAACCTCATCTGCTTACAAGTAAAAGCAATAAACTAAGGAAAAAAAAATTATGCAAACTTTAGAACAGTATCCGTGTTGCAAATTTGCAATCAACTCTATTATTCATAGTATTTAAACACCGGTAGATAGCTTCCCAAGTAATCGGACAACATAAGTAACTTCAGGAAAAACTTACTTGATATGTAGTCTTCAACGTACTCATCATCAACCTTTCCATGAGCCATAGCACCAACCTGAACGAGCAAAGGATTAGAAGACACCTAAGTTTTGACTCATATAAATGAATTAATAGACAAAGTTCAGTCCCTTCTGATACATACCAAAAACACAAAATTGGAATCATCTTTAATAGGATCCACATATTTCTGAATGTCAACCAATTTTTCTGAGCTAAATGAAAAGCCTGAAATATGAACAGCCAAATGTCACTGACTATGGAGGGGGGAATAGAGAGATAAAAGTGATCTGAACTCTAAAATTTATTAGACAGGATTACTAGTTCAGAGTAAAGCTCACCTATCTTACGAGAATTAAGAGGTAGATACTGAGTTACAGGATTTTTAACCACACAAAAAAGTTCATCTCGTTTGCCAGCAGCAGATATGCCCAGCTTTTGTAACAGTTGCACTGCAATGATAAATGAGAGAGGGCGTTAAGGAGTAACCACACGTCATGCCTTCAGTAGCAAATCACGTAATTAGAGTGACGCATAGAAGTTGATAGAAAGAAGATGCATGACAAAATAATTATAACTCACACATAATGCCTACAAAACACTTATATGTTCTTGGAATACGCACGTGAGGTTTAACCTCAAAAAGTACACCTTTCTCAGTTTTAACATACACATATTGAATCCTCCCAGCCTTATTCAAGGGGCTATCCAAAATCATCAGAAGAGCCTGAAATATCATTCATAATCACAACTACTTCAGAAAAACGGCCAGATACACAAGACAATAATAGCATACATCTTTGAAACCTTCTGAAAATGTCAACAGAAGCACAAATATAATAAATAGAATAAAGTGTATCGTAACATAAAACTTGTAATATAAACGTGATAAACAATGTCTGGCCTGTAATCTGCAGGATTCTTTTTGTGCTTCATCAAAAAATTGGCATGGTCCTCAGAATTCAAAATTTGGTAGGTCTGCAATTACATATGAATATGACATCAGAATTCAGTTAACAACGGAAGCAGAATTCCCGTTCATCTATTAATACCCCTCCTAAACACCATCAACACAGTTATCTAGGCCAACCCTCTAATTAATCTTTGAAACATATCCAATCCAATCCAATCCAATCCAAGCATCACACAACACAAACAAATAAACATAATGGAAAACAATAGAGCTTAAAGATTGTTGATTGACATACCTTCCCTACTTTGGCAACCTCAAGGGAAGCCCTTTCGAGCAGGAAAACCGCCCCAGGCTGGCTCTTCTGCTTCGTAATAGTAACCGGAATGTCGGGGATATCATCGGCCAAATCTTCCGCTACCTTATCATCTTCAACTGTTTCCTCAATAGTGGCAGCAGCTGGTACATCCTCTTGTACCATTTCTACTTGCTCATCCTCCTCTTTATCATATTTTTCCTCTCTCTTCTTCCTTTTCTTACCAGCTTTTACTCCCAATGGCCTCGGCATTTTCTACATAAATCAATTCCTTTACATTTCAAGCTTATATAATTCTAGCAACTTTAAACTACAAAAATCTGAACTTTTCAAAAATGGGTCCAATTGGGAAAAGGGTAATTAAGAAAGGGAGAAATATAGAAAAATAATTAGATTATATTGTGCTAATTAAGCAATGATAGTACTCAAATAAAAAATTTTAAGAAAAATGCAGAGAAGAACAAATGTTTAATACAAAAGAGTTTAATTTCAGTAATAAAAGTATGAGAGAGAGAAAGGTGTACCGTAGTCAACAGCGACTGTGCAGAATCAAGGAAACCCCAAAAGAAGGAAAATTAACAATTTTGAACAAAGTTTAGGATTTATGGAGAAATGAGGGCGGATAATAAGAAATGGTGGATAAAATAAAAATGGGGGTTTAGCTAGGGTTTATTTGGAGAATTGATTAAAGGCCCGAATTTTGGTCCATGCTTTTGGAGGACGACAAGGGTTTTAGGCAAAACCTCTTATTGATTTTTTTTTTTCGGTTTAAGATTAATTCTGGTAACATAAACGAACTAAACCATGTTATACACTTATACGGTTGGTTTTTGTTTAGTCATGTTATACAATTTGGTTTGGTTTGTGGGCATGCATTTGTGACTACAATTGAGCATGAGTCGACATGAAGACACATAAATGTCCTAATTCGGTACAAGCTCACTTAGCCCAACATGACACGAAGGACAATGCAAAGTCAACCATGGGTCGTTCGTAAATATCAATTCAAAATTTGGCATGACGTTTACATAGTGGACTATCGCTTTGTTTATTTTATTAATTTAAGCACAAACACATGGGTCAAGGTATCATGCCGCGTATAAACTAGGTTTAAAAGATCAACACAAGCATGACATACATAGTATTATGAATTTCTAAGGACTTTATTTAAGCATTCTTTTGCGACTCCGCAACAAGAAGCAAAAACCCCGCCTTCGGCCTTTCTTTCCCAACTTGAGCATTCAACATCCTCTTCTCTGCAAAACCCTAAAATTAAAATCAAGTTAAACCCTTTACTTGACAAAAGTTCCCCAGAAGAAGAACACCAATAGAATGGCTTACCATGGAGGTACACTCAAATCAACCTCCATTAATGGCGTCAAAGTCTATTCTTTAACTGGCCATCAACGTTCTCTTGCAACTTGGCTTAACCCCAAGAAACAGCGTGCTCTCCGCAAAGACAAAGGTACCTCTTCAATCTTAATTTTGTGAAATTTGCATAATTTATGTTATTATTTTTTGAATTGTTGATGAATATGTTTGTTGTATTAATTAAATTTGCAAAATTTGTTGTTCAGAGTATTCGCAAAGAGTAGAGTTGATTTTTGGACTTGAACTTCGAAACCGCCACCACCAAAATCAAGGCCACACCTGATGGAGAATTTCTTCTTGCTTCAGGTAGGTCATTTAGGAATTGCATTACTGGAATGAAATTTTCGTGGTTGATCGAATTAATTAATGTTAGCTGACCCCAAATTATTTTGAGACTATCTCTTTGTTGTTGTTGATCGAATTAATTAATTTTAGCGGACACAAAATCATTATGGGACTAAGGCTTTTGTTGTTGTTGATTGAATTTATTAATGTTGTTGAAAATCAATTATAGGTATTTACCCTCCCCAAGTTAAGGTGTATGAGTTAAGGGAACTGTCCTAGAAGTTTGAAAGACATTTGGTTTCTGAAATTGTTGATTTCGAGGTACTTTTCCATTGCTTCATTTGCATATTGATTTAGCTTATTGAATATGAATATGAACACCACTGTAATAAATTATACTTGGGATGATATTCGTGGCTGAAACGAAACAGGTGTTGTCTGATGATTACTCTAAGATTGCATTTATGTGTGCTGATCGCTCTATCTGTCTGCATGCTAAATATGGAAGTCATTATAAAGTGAGGATTCCTAGGTAAGCTACCTCTTACTAATTGCATGTATCTTTTTTGTTGAATGAATTCATAAAATCATATTTTGGTACTTTCGGCACTATTGGCATGGTACATGAAAAGAAACAAGTCTTAATGCGAGGGAATAATATAAAAAAAAATCAAATATCAATTACATTGCTGACTTATGGTTTCTAACGGGCAAAGTCAGCTGGAGTTTCCATTCTGTTAACTACTTAACTGTGGTGCAATAATTTGGGTTTTTGCCGATTTGCATTCTGATAATGCTTTTTGACCTTTTATTGACAAATTCACATCCGCTAGCTCTCTCCCGAGAAAAGAAGTTGGAGGAACTTTCACATTAATTAAGCCTTCATCTTTTTATCACCATTTGAAGTTCTATGAAGGAACATCACCTGAATGTCTCATTTTCTTTCATTATCATTTTAACTACAAATGTGAAAACAAATTGCAGTTACTTGATCATTGAGTTTCCATTGGCTTTCATATGTTAATATGTTTATTGTTGGATATAGCTAAACTTTATTGCGTCTTATGAATAGGATGGGAAGGGATATGGCATATGATTCATGGTCTTGCGATTTGCTCTGTGCTGCCTCCTCAACAGATCTTTACAGAATAAATTTATCGCAGGTTTGCCTTGATTACCCCTAATTGATATGTGGTTGACAGGCTGCCTTGCTTCATTGTAATTTCAGTGTCAATTATTACTGTAGCTGGTGTTTAAAATGTACTTTCGCATTTGCCATTATCTGTAATGAGGAGAATCCCTTATATGGATTGCATTTCCTACCATCAATATCACCCAAACAACTGGTGACCATAGATTGCAAAGTTTCTCTCAGAGACTGGGTTTATGGTCTAGACTCGAATAAGATGATTAATTACAGAGGCATGAAAGATTAATTGATGAAATGGATGTACGGTAGGACCACATTTGAACTACATTTACTTTTTCTGTCAATGCATTTTTTTTTTGGTTTGTTTTCGTATTTGTTTTTCACCCTTAGCTTAGTATCTACTAGACTGCTTGTTGAATAATCAGCCACACAAGCTTCTTCCAATGATTGGTTCATGGTTCCTTCTTTCAAAATCATCGCATGAATACCTGACCATATCACTTTACTTATGCTTTATAGTAAGTTATTTTATTTAGGAATTTTACGGGGCAGGGCTTGTGTGCCACTTTTCAGAGCTTCATGTAAACCATTTAGAGTGGAAGTTAGGGTATTGCTTAAGTTTGTGGATGAAGAATTCTTGAGCACAAAGAGTATACGACCAAGTGACCATTACATTCCCTAAATGATGAAATTATTTTTGTAATTGGAAAGCTGATGATGCTTTAGAAAAACAATCTATCTAGTATAGAAAGGCTAGCTTTTCTTGTCTAGCTGATCTACCTATCCTGCTCTTAAGCAGAGTTGTGTAGTGTATAACTGTATATGTTGAATGAATACTAACATTCAATACTAGAAAGTTCATATACTTGCGTACTGGATTCTTGTATTTGATATATATACTCCCTACATTCCAATTTAGTATGCCTACTTATCAAAGTACATATTGTTAGGAGGTGTTTGATTATCAATTATTCTTTCTAGTATAAAACTAGATGTGATGGGAGATAGTGGGGTATAAATTTATTCGAAGTATGTGACAAGAGAGATAACTGGTGGGCCAAGGGTAGAGGGGAGAAGTACTACAATAATTGTAGGCCCTTGCCAAAGATAGGAATAGGTTTGGGATGGACTTAAAAGGAAAGTAGGAAAACTAAATTGGAACGTTGGGAGTATGTCATACACTTCCTTTTCTATGAGGGGAAAAAAACTGCGAAAATAGAAAACACTTATAAATACGAGTAATAAAAAAAAGATAATACAAATAATACTCCGTATTTTAACATTTTATAATTCTATATCTTTGTAGCAAATACATGGGTTTACATTCTGATTGAACTTTAATACCTCCTCTTTTTTTATTTAGATGCATCACCTATATAATTGCGGACTTCTAGGCAATTTTTGGAGTCAAGAGAGAACGAGAGAAAAACTTCTATTTTTAAAAAGTGATGCATTTAAGTTTAAAACTTCTATATTTAAAACACGAGTACTAAATGCAGTACAAAATAACCTAAATGCAGGAATTTATTAATAATATTGAAATAACAAAAGACTAAGATACCGTTATTCAATTTTTAGATTCCAATATCCCATTTTAACTTGAACGTAAAATTCAACCTAAATTTTTTTCCATTTCTACTGTTCTACCTCTGCTAATCCCACAATATTTTGCTAATCCCACAAATTTGTGCTGATTTCACGAAATTCGCATTCATCTTCCCTCTGATCTAAGGTAGGTTTATGTGTATTATTTACCCCCGGGAAATAAATCCGGGGGGTATTGTTTACCCCCGGAAATCATATCCAGGGGTATTGTTTTCCCCCAGAAATTATATCCGGGGGATATTGTTTACCCCTAGAAATCTAAACCGGTAGGTATTGTTGACCCCCGAAAATCAAAACCGGTAGGTATTGTCAACCCTCGGAAACACAACCTGACACCCTGTTACATGCTCCCAAATAAAATGTTCTGTACAAGATGGAACATTTATCTTGTTTGATTGTTCATCTATAAATTAGATTTTGCGGGAAAAAAGATTACAGCACATAATTTTCATACCTCAAAAAATTGTTGTAGTGCACTTCATTATTGTCCATGAATTTGTATAGTATTGGATATTAAATAGGATGAAAGGTTGAATACGTTAGAATATGGTTGTAAATTAAACGGCAGGGATGATTATATAGTTAGGAGTGAAAAAGGATTAAATTAAAACAAGGGCAAAATTGGAATATAAGCTTTTTTAAAAAATTACCTTATTCTGCATTCAGGTAAAATTGTCCCTGCATTTAGTACCCCTTTTTTGTTGGGTAATGAAATTGCTCTTTTTTGTCCGATTGAGATAAAATTTTGGCTTATTTTTTCGCAATTCCAATTTAAATTAAAGAATATTCTTTACTCTCCTGAGATTATTTCTCAATTTTGTATGTTTATGTATCCAAGTATACCTCTCTTTGGTTTTTGAAATGAGCAGAGGTAGAACTGGACTTGTTATCCTGGTTAGAGCACTAGCAACTGGAGTATTGATTTGAATTTTGTACCTGGAAATGGATGCTTGCTAATTTAAAAAGTATATACGATGATTACAAGTTCTTAACTAAAGAAGAACTTGAGAGACTTAACCTGACCAATTTAATCGGAACTAACCTTCTCAGAGCTTATATGCATGGGCACTTCATTGATTATCGGCTATATAAGAAGGTAGATGGTCTAATATGTTGCCATTGTATTCTGATTTTGGCTTTGTTGGCTCTACCGTTCTACCTGTTCATATTGCATAAGCCTTACATGTGCTGATGTGAACTCAAAATGCCTTATTTGATGTATGCAAATCTGTTGGAGTTCCTGATTAGAATTTGTGGGATTTCCTTTCATGTGGGATAAAAGCAAAGGACATAGCCTTGTTGTAATTCATATTATATTTTTACATCAGGCTACATACTTGTTTCATACATCATAATTCCACGAGCATCAATTTTTTGTTCTAAAATAATATTTTCCAAAACTCTTGTATTACCAAGATAAACTGGGAACTTTTGATGTGTATAATATGTTGCGAAGCATGCCAAGTAACCTACATGCAAGATGTAGCTTTTGTGAAACTGCTACCATTGTAGCGATCGTCTGATCACTTTTTTTCTATATTTGGAAGGACATATGTGGTTCACCTATGTGAAATTAGTAGTCTGGAACTGTCTTGAAGTTAAATACGTATGACAAGGAGGTGCACTAGCACATGGTCACTTGTAGATTTGTTTTTTTTTTTTTGTGTGTGTGTGGGGGGGGGGGTTCTGCCAAGTTTTGCAGTAGCCCAAGTGAATAGTCATGTGTCTTAAGCATGACAAGATTTTTGTGCAACAATTCTGTGAGAGTAAGAGGAACGTACGGCGATTGATTAACTAAGCTGTCACCTGTGTTGTATTTTTGCATGCATTGTTAATGCTGCTGCTAATTGGGGGAATCAAGCTTATTGTCTTTCATTGATTTTCTGCTGTTTCTCCCCCCTATTTACGGAATAATATTTTCTTTTTAACAAAAGCTATGTGTATATCTGAACCTGTTTACCGTATTATAGACATTGGCTTTATATTTGGATTGTGCTGGCTGTGGAATAGATTTTGGATACCCCTTGTTTTGTGGTCAACTGATTGGGGCTGAACTGAACTGAATAGAGTTGAAATGAATTGTTTATGAAAGATGGAAATTAGGACCTGAGCTGAACTGAACTGTACTGAAATTAAGCTGAACAAAACAGGCCCTAATTTTAATTTCATTGCTATATTGATGTAATATTGCCTTATAGTTATTTGATATCATTTGTTCTCTTGTGGCTATTGTCTTTCACATATTAAGAGGAAGCTGCCAAAGGTTAACCGTCATCTCGTACGTACTCTTCTCGAGGATGAAGAAGAAGCAGCTGAAAATGATGCTGATAAAAAGAAATCCTCAAATAAAACGAAGGGATTGAACAGTGACATACTGAACGATGATAGATTTGCAGAGTTGTTTGAGAGGCCGAGGAAGGGGTAGAGGAGGAGGGGGTAGAGGAAGAGGTCGACATTGAGGTTATTGAGTTTTAACTCGTTAAGGTGGAAAATTTTGTTTCTTTCTTCTGCCATGCAATTTCTGACAGTATTTTTTATTTCATTGTGTCTTTAATATTATAGTGTTTTCTTCAAATGAAAAAAATATGCGAGTAGATAGAATCTATAACCAGTTTTTTTTTTTCTTTTTAATTTGTAATCTAATTTGTTTTATTTATTTTAATTTTAATACTTAATATTTTGATTAGGTATGCCAAAATAGCTCATCCACTGGTTTTTAGTAATACATATTGATGAGCATCTTTAGATAAGAATTTTGACAAATTTGCTTGCATCATAGGCTTAAGCATGCTTTCGCACTGAAACACCTAGCATGTTGTTGTTATTGCAGCTAGGGGGGTTTTACATATGGACATACACTTTTCACTTGGTAAAGAGTTCATCCATTAAGTTTAAGGCACTAAGAGCCGCAAAAGAGGAGGCTGCAAGGGATTCAAACGACGACTTAGAAGCTGATGTAAAAGCCCATCTTCTCAACGGAGAGAGTGAAGGGTATGATGCAGAAAGCCATCCTGTAAGTTCATTATTTTCTTCTGTATAGTATGTTTACAGAATATAATAATAGTACTGTAACTTATCTGACCTGTATATATATCTCAGGTATCACCTAAGAAGGAAAGCGAGCCCCTTTGGAGGAAGATAATCGAGTTTCTACACCTTATATTGGAGGAACTAATGGCACCTCCTAGCGCTGGTGCAGTGAGTCTCTCTTCTATCTATAAACATAAACTTTTACAGACTTTGTATGGTGAAATAGCAATGTATGTAGCACCTTGCATTAATCTGCTTGAAATGCTACTACTAAATGTTCAAGACTACCTTAGAAAAATGAAGAGAATGCTAGGAGAATTGGTGATGCAATTGGAAAATATATTGACATGGATAAAACTGATGTTATCGGAATTAATAAATCCTTAAGGATTCGAGTATGCTTGGATGTGAAGAAACCCCTTAGAAAAATGGTGGAGCTAAAAACGGGCAAGGGTGTGATAGAAGTACCTATAAAATATGAAAAACTCCCTGATTTTGTTACACATGTGGGCTCCTAGGGCATGGGGAGAAGGACTGTGAAGAGGTAGTAGTTCGAAGAAATTTTTCTGAAAAATTGAGGGTTAACACTCCTTGGAAAGCTACAAAAAACGAGAACCATGATGAGGAGGGAGATCTTAGTAATGCTGTGAGGAAACTTTTCATCACGAAAAGCCCTTTGATGAGTAGTAAGGAAGATGGGATATGTAATGTTGGAGAATCTCAGAGTGGGGGGCAGGGACTAGGAAGTACGGGGATGGATGGGGAGATGGCCTCAATCTCAGTTGAGAGTTCAATAAAGAGAGGGTCTGAAGAGCAGCTGGTTTTGAAGCAGGGGCTTACTAGAGAAGAGAATAAAGGAGGGGGGATAGAATTATGGAGACACAATGCTGCAATCGAGCATTCCTCTCTTGATAGTTCACCTAAGGAGGTTTCAGCAGGAGGGGGAGGCAAAGAGGGTTCCAGAGGGTGGAAGAGAAAGGCTAGAGAAGGAGGGGAGGTGAGTGGGAAGGGATCCATACAGGTGGAAAGGGGTAAAAGGGGCAGAGAGTAGGAATGGGAGATGTTGGAAGAAGGAGGGCACATTGGAAAGAAGATCATATATACTACTTTGTTGACTGGTGTGGGGCCAAGGGCGGAGGTTGGCGAGGACCAACCCCACCAAACCCAATGAGTATATTTGCTTGGAACTGTCGGGGTTTGGGCAATCCCCGAATAGTTCAAAGACTCTGTAAATGGAGTATAAAATACAGCCCAAACATTGTGTTTATCTCTGAGACAAAGGTAGAGCGTAGAGTAGTAGAACAACTAAAAGGTCGACTAGGCTTAAACGGGGCTTTTGGGGTCTCTAGTAATGGAAGGTCAGGTGGTTTATGCATATTTTGGAGTGATAAGGTAGATTTCAAATTGGTCTCATTTTCTCAACATCATATATGCGGGGATATTTGGAGTGAGGGAAGAGTTTTATGGAGGTTTGCAGGCGTTTATGGTTGGGCGAAAGCAGAGGAGAAGCTGAATACTTGGAAGCTCATGAGGCACTTGTGTGAAGATGATTTGTCAATTCTGATAGGAGGGGATTTTAATGAGCTCCTTTCATATGAAGAAAGGGAGGGTGAGATGGAAAATTTCAGAGCTGTTCTTAGTGACTGCGAGCTTCGTGACTTAGGGTACAGAGGCACTTGGTATACGTGGGAAAGGGGAATTTCTCACAGCACTAGAGTCCGAGAGAGACTTGATAGATTCTTGGGGTCTTCTTCATGGTGCTCGATGTTTACAGATACAACAGTAGACCACTTGCTGAGAGTTAACTCTGATCACGCACCTATCTTGCTTCACTACAATAGCAAATCTGCCAGAAAAAAGAAAAGGAGGAAGAGAGATTTTAAATTTGAGACTTATTGGTTGACTGAGGAAGGGTGTGAGGAAACCATTAAGGGTGCATGGGATGAGTCAGTGGGTTTGAGTGTAGTGGGGAGGATAGCAGTGGTAGGAAGGCGCTTATTGAAGTGGAGGGAGGAAAATTTTGAGAATTTGGGGAAGCTGATCACTACTACTGAAGATGCTCTTAGAGAAGCCCAGGCGAAGCCAACTAGTGTGGATAGCTGCCTTGAATGTGCGGAACTTGAGAAGCAGCTAGATACTTTGCAAGACAAGCTCGAAGCTTACTGGAAGATTAGATCGAGAGTGGCGGAGGTGAAGGAGGGGGACAAGAATACTAAGTATTTTCATCACAAAGCCTCCCAAAGACAAAGAAAAAATTCTATCAGAGGCTTGTGGGATGAGAGAGGGGTTTGGAAGTCGAGTGAGGAAGATACAGCTCTCATCATTAGGGATTATTTCAAAAATATCTTTACTTCATCTAACCCCTCTTCTGATAATGTTGAACAGGTCATTGATTGTGTGCCGACTTCAGTTTCCCAAGATATGAATGCGATGCTTTTGAGGCCCTATACAATGGAAGAAGTTCATACGGCCTTGAAGCACATGCACCCAAACAAGGTTCCCGGTCCGGATGGCATGCATGCCATCTTCTATCAACGATTCTGGCATATAGTTGGGAAGGATGTTGCGACTTTTGTGATTGGTGTGCTGAATGGGAATGATCTTCCGGAACATATAAACAAGACAAACATAGCTTTGATCTCGAAAGTAAAAGAGCCGCAACATGCTGTTGAATTCCGCCCCATAAGTTTGTGTAATGTGATATATAAACTCATCTCGAAATGCCTAGCCCTCAGATTGAAAGATGTTCTCCGGAACATCATCTCTGAAAATCAGAGTGCCTTCATCCCGGGTCGGCTCATTACTGACAATGCATTGATAGCACTGGAATGCTTCCACACCATGAAAAAGAGGAGCAAGGGTCGAAAAGGCTATATGGCTATGAAGCTAGATATGAGCAAGGCTTATGATAGGGTCGAGTGGGGCTTTCTACGCCAATTACTTTTAAAGATGGATTTCGACGGCAGATGGGTAAATGTGATTATGTGCTTGGTTTCGTCTGTCCAATACTCCTTTGTCATAAATGGAGAAGTTTGCGGGAAAGTCATTCCCTCTAGAGGATTACGCCAAGGTGATCCCCTCTCTCCCTACCTATTCATTATTGTAGCTGACGCCTTTTCCCACATGTTACAGAATAGAGCATCTACGGGGGGTATTCATGGGGTCAAACCATGTCGGAGAGGTCCAGAAATCTCTCATCTTTAGTTTGCAGACGACAGTCTCCTCTTTACTAGGGTTAACCGTCGGGAATGCTCAAACATTGTTGATATTCTCAACCAGTACGAAGCAGCATCGGGGCAAAAAATTAACTATGAATAATCGGAAGTGTCTTTTAGTAAAGGGGTGGGAACTGAGCAAAAAGAACTTATGGGAATTCTGAAGATGAAACAAGTAGAGAGGCATGGTCAATACCTTGGCATTCCGAATATAGTGGGGAGATCGAAAAAAGAAGTCTTTCAAGCTTTGTTGGACAGGGTATGGAAAAAATTGCAGGGGTGGAAGGAAAAATTACTGTCTCAAGCAGGAAAAGAGATTCTTTTAAAGTCGGTGATCCAAGCAATCCCAAATTATCTCATGGGAGTTTACAAATTTCCGGCAGAGGTAATTGGAAAAATTCATGGGATGATGGCAAATTTCTGGTGGGGGCAAACTACGGATAGAAAACGTATTCACTGGAATAGTTGGGGCTCCATGTGCACTCTCAAATTTCTCGGAGGGATGGGATTCCGGGACCTGGCAATTTTCAATGAAGCTCTTTTAGGGAGGCAAGCATGGCGTATGATCTCCCAAAATAACTCCCTGTTAAGTAAATTGATGAGTGCAAAATACTTCAGGCATTCGGACTTCCTCGGGTCATCTCTTGGATATGGTAGTAGCTACTCATGGCAGAGTATTTGGGGCTCAAAATCCTTAGTAAAAGAAGGAATACTCTGGAGGGTGGGTGATGGTGAGTGCATTCGAATTTGGGAGGACCCTTGGATATGTGATGAGACAAGCCGGTTTGCAACAAGTGTACCATCAGAGGAAATCTCAAAGGTGAGTGAATTGATAAATAGGGAGTCTATGACTTGGGACCATGATAAAATACAAACGCTATTTAATGACCGAGACAAGAAGAGTATACTCTCAATTCCCCTAAGCTTGAGGTGCCCTCCAGACAAAGTAATCTGGGCTTTTTCTAAGGAAGGCGAATATACTGTTAAAACCTCATATATGCTAGGGAAGGGGTGTAATCTAGATGATTTTCATCAAGCATGGGTTGACATTTGGAAAGCACAAGTTATCCCAAAGGTCAGAAATTTTCTATGGCGTTTTTGCACTGGTACTACCCCCGTACGGTGGCTTCTCAAACACAGGCACCTTACAGAAAATGACCGATGCCCCTGATGTGAGAATAAGGCAGAAACTTGGCTACATGCTTTTTTTGAATGTGAGAGAATTTAGAGCTTATGGCACAGACTCGACTGTGAAGAATTGAAGAAGGAAGCTGCTACTCTCACTCCCTGTGATCTTATCGAGAGCTGGGGAAAACAGCCGAGAGAAGTGATGGCCCGTGGCTTCTATCTAATGTGGGGAATTTGGCATGAGAGAAATATGAAAATTTTCCAAGGTAAAGATGGCTCCATTGACCTGCTTATGGCTCGTGTTCAAAGGTGGGTGGAGGAAAGTAAGCTACTAGAGGAAAAGCTGAATATAGTGGAGAAGCGAGTTCCTTGCTCAAGCTCTCGCAAATGGCTCTCTCCTCCCCTCGGTTTTATTAAGATCAACACAGATGCATCGATCACTGACGAGGGATGGATTGGCCTGGGGGTAGTAGCCAGGAATGATGAAGGGGATGTCCTTTTGCGGCTTCTAAAAGAGTCAAAGCGTGGTGGTCAATTGAAGTGGCGGAAGCAAAAGCGATAGTTTAGGCTCTCAATCTGGGAACAAGGTTCAGACTCTCTAATGTCATAATTGAATCTGATTGTCAAGTCATTGTATCGAGGCTCACGAAGGAGATGAGTCACAATACTGATCTGGACATTGTCCTAAGTGATGCGTTGGTGCAGGGCTCCCATTACAACTGCATCCAATGGTGCCATGTTAGGAGGGAAGGGAACTCCGTCGCCCATAATCTCGCTAATTATATTCCTTTTAATCTTGAGCAAACGTGGGTTAACTGTGTTCCCCCATCTGTATCCCATTCAGTGGCGGACTTGGGCTTAGACCTGGTGGGTCAAGTGACTCACCAGGCCCAAAAAAAAAATTTTAAGTTATTTAAAAAAAAAAATAAAAAAAAAATAAAACCAGTTAGAGGAGACTTCAAGCCCTAGCCTTCTTCTCTTCGTGACTTCGCCTAATCGCCTCATCTCCATTCTTCAGTTTGCGGCGTTCGCCTCTTCGCTTCGTCCCAGCCAGGCAGCCACCGTTCTCTTCGCCTAATCGCCTGGTGGTCGGACGTCGGTGGTCGTGGACTCCGTCCTCTTCGTGGCTTCTCGCATAGTCGCATAATCGCATTTCAAAATCGCTACTCGAAACGTCGGTGCTAGTAAGTTGATTTCTAATTTTTATTTTTAATTTCTAATCTTCAAATTAATTCAGTCTAATTAGTTAATTTTATTAAACTTTGGTTTAAACTTTGGTTGATTTGTTAATTTGTAGTTGGCTGTGCTGCTGAATTGGCGAATTGCTGTCTTGCTGAGTGCGTGCCTCGGTGCCTGAGACTTGAGTGCTGCCGACTGCCGTGCTGCGGTGCTGGCCGACTGCCCGTGGCCCTATTGCAGTGCTGCTCCGCCTGCTCCGCTGCTCGCCTCCGCCTAGCAAGGTAGGTAATCAACTAATCATCAATTGATTTTTTTTGTGAAATCTGTTTTGTGTAATTGTGTTTTGTGTAATTGTGTTTTGTGTAATTGAAATCTCTTGAACTTATTAGTTATTACTTATGTAGTTATGTGAAATCTGTTTTGTGTAATTGTGTTTTGTGTAATTGAAATCTCTTGAACTTATTAGTTATTACTTATGTGAAATCTGTTTTGTGTAATTGTGTTTTGTGTAATATGTTTATGTGATTATGTCATTATGTGAAATTGCTTGATTTAGACCATTTAGTTGAATATTTATTCAAATAATTTTTCTGGGGAATATTGCTTGATTTAGTTGAATATTTATTCAAATTTCAGAATGAAGAGAAAACATACTCCAAATGAAATGCAAAACATTACTAGCTTCTTTGCTAAAAAGAATCCTACTCCAACTTCTCTTCCACATCCAACACAAAATGAACAAACTATAACTCCACCTCAAGAAAGTGAGCAACTTTCATCTCCATCTCATTATTCAACTCAAAATTCCCCTCAAAATGAACAAGGCCAATGTTCTCCTAATGCCCCAATCTTTGGAGAAAGATTAAGTGAACATGAATTTGCTAATCTTCCACAAGATCCAGGAAAGAGGAGAAAAATGAGTCAATTTCATAAAGATGATAGAGATTTAGTGAGAAGAATTTACATTCAAAGAAAGCCTTGTCAGCCCAAAGACTTTACATTTCCTCAAACTTCTATTTTTGGAAAAAATCGTCGCTTTTGTGCTAAGTGGTTTGATACTTGGACTTGGCTTGAGTATAGTGTGGAAAAGGATGCTGCCTATTGTTTCCCTTATTATCTATTCAAGGATGAAAATGCCTTTGGGGGTGATGCTTTTGTTAGTGATGGTTTCAAATCATGGAATCGATCGGATTTAATAAGAAAACATGTCGGTAAACACTTGAGTGCACATAATAATGCTGTTTTAGCTATGGATTTGTTCAAGAAACAAAATTCAAGCATCACACAAGCCTTAACAAAACAAACCGATGAGAGTACAAATGCATATAGGACGCGACTTGAAGCTTCAATTGAATCTATCCAATGGCTTTTACTCCAAGGGTTGCCTTTCCGTGGTCATGATGAAAAATAAAGTTCCTTAAGAAGAGGTAACTTTCTTTCACTTTTATCCCTTATTTCCAAAGGTAATCCTGAATATTCTAAAGTTGTTTTCAAAAATGCTCCTAGTAATTGTCAACTTACTTCTCCTAAAGTCCAAAAAGATATCATAAATGCATGTGCAAAAGAGACCACTAAAGCAATGCTTGAAGATATTGATGGTGGTTTATTTTCTATCCTTGCTGATGAGTCCGCTGATGTTTCTGACAAGGAACAATTGGCTCTTTGTTTGAGATATGTTAATAGAAAGGGAGAAGTGTGTGAGCGTTTACTTGGTATTGTGCATGTTGTAAACACTGCTTCTTTGACTCTCAAAACTGCTATTGAATCCTTATTAATGGAGCATTCTTTGTCTTTCTCTCAAGTACGGGGTCAGGGTTATGATGGGGCAAGTAATATGCAAGGTTCTATTAATGGCCTTACGACTCTTATAGAGAATGAGTGTAAAGAAGCTTATTTTGTCCACTGCTTTGCTCACCAACTTCAATTAACTCAAGTTGCACTTGCTAAAAAGAATTCAGATTGTGCTTGGTTATTTGTTGATGTACTTGCACCTCTCTTGAATTTTGTGGGGGGTTCACCAAAAAGGAAAGAGTTTCTTCGTGAAAATCAAGCTCAAAGAGTGGTGGATGCATTGTCTCTAGGTGAACTTGAAACGGGTTCAGGTTTAAATCAAGAGCGTGGATTAGGTAGACCTTGTGATACTCGTTGGGGATCTCACTTCAAGACAATCTTGAATGTACTTGATTTATTCCCTGTAATCCTTGGTTCTCTTGAGGATATTGCAAAAGTATCTGATACAATAGATTCTAATAGAGCTCAAACACTTACAAATCTTCTGATGTCCTTTGGTTTTGTGTTCGTGGCACACTTGATGGTTAGTATATTTGCGATAACAAATGCTTTGAATGTGGCCTTACAAAAGCACGATCAAGACATTGTGAATGCAATGGCCATGGTTAATGTAACCAAGACTAATTTGCAAAAAATGAGAGATGAAGGATGGGATTCTCATATGGAAAAGGTAATTTCTTTTATTGGTGACTATGACATTGCAGTTCCAGATATGGAGGCTAAATATGTTGTTCCCGGGAGGAGGTTGTTTAGAGGTAAATGCCCACAAGTGTCTAATCTACATCATTTTCGAGTTGAAGTTTTTTTTGGTGTCATTGATCTTCAATTGCAAGAACTTGAAAATCGATTTCCCGAAATAACTAAAGAACTACTTGTGTGTATGTCTTGTTTGAGTCCTGTGGATCGTTTTTCTAAGTTTGATAAGGAAAAATTGATTAAGCTTGCAAAATTCTATCCTAATGAATTTCCAAGTTCAAAATTGATAGTCTTTGGTCATACACTTGATAGTTACATTTGTTCTGTTAGAGGAGATGAAAGGTTTTGGAATTTGAAGGGTCTTAGTGATCTTTCAATCAAATTGGTTGAAACGGGATTGTCTGAAACTCATGATAGGGTCTATTTACTTTTGAAGTTGGTGTTGCTTCTTCCTGTCGCAACGGCAAGTGTGGAAAGGGTATTTTCTGGCATGAAGCAAGTGAAAGACAAACTACGAAATAGCATGGGAGATCAAATGTTGAATGATTGTTTAATTACTTATTTGGAGAATGATTTGTTTTTGAATGTTAGCATGGAAGATATCATGAATCGATATCAAAACATGAAAACTCGTCGAGAACTATTGTAATAAGTTTGCATTACTATTTAGTTGTCTTTTGTAGTATTATATGAACATTTGGTTGTATTTTGTACTGTTTGAATATTTGGATGTATTTTTTAGTACTATTATTTGGTTGTTTGGTAAAAAAAAAATTTTACATATTTGATTATCGATTGTGACTCACCAGTCGGAAAATCCTGGGTCCGCCACTGATCCCATTATGTAACTATATTAAAAAAAGCATGATTAAAAGCAATAATAATAAACTAAATATGAAAACAATAAATTAATTAAAAGCAAAACAAAAGCATTAATAAAACTAAAGCAATGAAAACTATAAAGTTACGAAATCTAACTGATGAAATCTCAATGAATATTACCGAATACTAATGAAAAATTATACAAACTAATAAAAGAACAAAAGCTAAAACTAAAAACTAAAACTAATCTACTACTACCTACGTAAAAGCCTACCCTCCTCCTACGTACTACTAATCCTTTTATAAAAACAATTAGAGCAGTTTTAGTTGAAGTCAAACTACTACTCCTACTAAAACTATGATAACTGACCAGCTCTCCCATCAGGTGTCAGCATGCCCAACAATTTATAGGCCCAATAGCTGAAATAGTTTGACACTGTCACGCTGAAGATATCCGCCCGAACGGGCCAATTAAGCCTAGCCCGATCGGGCCCGGTCAGCAACGCAACAAGCTTGGCTACTTTGCTTCTCCTTGGACTTGGGCTTCTTGACTTGAGTCCAAGTTCTCTATAGTGCTTGGTCTGTTAATCCATAACAATAATGTGGACCTTTCTCTTATCTAATCGAGTCTTTATTCACTAAGCTAAATTTAACTCGGTGTTGGGCTTTAAATATACGATCATAAAATACGTTCCGACTCTAATACTTTGTAGTGGCTTAATAAGCTCGGGAATCTTCATAAATCTGCAAATTCTTACAAAATAATACCAACTCTACAAAAGCACTAGAAAACGTGTATTAGTGATAAAAATAGCTCCGTAAAGCTCAAATAATCACAATTATGACCACAGGACGGGGAATAAAAATATATATAAAATAGACTCATCAAAAATTCATGTTTAACCAACATCAATTCCAAGCATATAATCAACCAAACATGCTACTAATCCATCACTTAAATCATACTTTACAATCCTAACATGTAGGGCTGGCAAAAGCTGACCCGACCCGAAAACAGGACCTGAACCCGACCTGAAAATAGCGGGTTAGGGTTGAGATTTTTAACTCGAAAACTTTAATGGGTCAACACGAACCCCACCTGAAATTAAATGGGATAGGTTAAGGTTGAACCCGAAAATGATCCATGTAACCTGAAAAATTAAACAGGTCAAAATTATGGGTACTAAAAGTTTAAACCAGCCCAAAGTTAGGTTAAACCCTAGCTTTATATACCTATTTTTCTCCATTTCCTCACTTGGTCACATACGCATAAAACGACTACTTAAATTTCTTCTATTTCTCTCACTTTCTCTATCTTAAATAAAAAAAAACAGAAATTGATACAAATCACTATTTCTTTTGCATTTTATCATTGTTGTGGCCCCCTTGTGGGTACATGTTGTATTCTTTTAAAATTCATGCATAAATTAGATCTTCATCTTGTTTATATATAACTGTACGTAAGGAATATTTCAAACACCAACTTTTAGCCCCACTGTAATCATGCACTTAAACATGGTGACGTCTAAAGGGGAAAGAAGCTAGAGATAAAAGAGTCGCCAACAAGTTTTAGAAACTTGTAAACCGTTCACGGGTGTGAAGATTACACCCCACTCACGATCACGGAGATCGCTACCTCCATAGTAGTTCGGAACCATGACTGGATATTTAGGGATGTTGGTACGAATCCAACCTAAAAGAAATTGAACCTGCCCTAAATCGGCCTCTACTTAATTCTTATGATATTCATGTGCGCTTTCCGATCAACATACAATCAACAAGTTAGCCCTAAACCTGTTTAATCTATGTTGCTTGGTTATTAATGCACAAATAAATCTATTATTGGTGATCACTTGAGATTAAAACCATATTAAGCCTAAAACAAATTATTAATTATCTAATTAGACGTGATTTCAAGTACAAATTTCCTTTAAACATGCAAGAAAGGGCGTGATCAAGCAATAACAATAAATCATAAATAATCAAGCAATGTAATAATAATAATTAAACGACACAACAATCATCATCATCATCATAATAAAGCAATATCTCCAAAATAATATTAGTAAGATCCTAGGCATGATACTAAACAGATTAATAACAAACCCTAGCATGTCACTAGACAATAAAGATCAAAGCTTTAGCCTAAACATGATACTGAAAAGCAACATGATATTAGAAATATTAAAATAACATTCTTAGCATGATACTAGAAACATTAATCAACATCCTAACATAATAATAGGAATTAAAATAATATTCTAAGCATGATTTCTATATCAAAAGAATAATTAAGATAGTAGATCTACTCATTTTGATGTCTCGTATCTCTTTCTATTAAAACAATACATACGTTGGTAACTTCAAGAAAGATTAAATCAAATAAATCAAATAATAATTGAAATATAGATTTGGGACCAAACCCTCAGAAATATCAACCTTTCACGTCGAGGTCGAAGGCAACTACGAGAAGGGTTTAGAGTATTTAAGTCTCGCAAAGGACGTTTAGTGTGATGTGTTTAGCTAAGGCTAAGAAGGAGAGAGATAAAAGCTTATAGCTTAGAGATGGAGATTAGATGATGATTGGTGGTGATCAAGCTTGTTGATAATTGAAAAATGGGGTGATATGACCTCTATTTATAGGGAAAAAAGAGAGTTGAAGGATTAGAAAACATCGGAATTCGAATAGGAATAAAACTCCTTCGATGGACAACAATTTTTGCGGTTTTTGTTTTTATCAAAACTTTTGATCCACAAATCAGAATAAGATAAATAATATGTTGTTGGAAAGCTCTTGAAGACTAATCATATTAAAATATTTTGTAGATTAAAATATATGATCGAAATAGTAGGACGGTGTCATTTTTGGATTAGAGTTTGGTATTTCATTCATATTTTTTCCGTTATAGCTCGGAATTGGGATTATAATATATCATTGGAAAGATAATTTCAAGGGGTACCCAATAATCCAAGATTTGGATAAAAATTATGAGAAAAAAAAATAATATCTGACAGTCTTTCAATTTGAATGGAACAAGGATTATCAAAAGAGGAGTTTTATTCAATTTCAAACTCTTGATCTTTATCTTTCGAAAAGGATAGATTAGAACCTTATAGAGACCTCTAGAAGCTCCTAATAAATCCTAATTGTTTTAGGATTTGGATTAAGGTTAATGGACCCTCCACGTGATCATTGGGTCGTAGGTAAGATGGACCTAAGTCCGGTTTGGACTTGGTTTAGTATTTTGGCCATAACTTCTTCGTTATAAGTCGAATGTGGGCTTATAATACATCGTTGGAAAGATCTCTTCAAACCCCAGCCAATTACACTATTATTGGACCTAGATTATGGACCAAAATAAATTGTTTTAGACGATTTTATAAATTGGACACGAAATAAATGATTTTAAGGACATGAAATGAATGATTTTGGGTTTAAACACACGAAATGAATGATTTTGGCTTAAAACATTTTTAGGAAAGTTTTGAAATGTTCAAGGCTTAAGGGAAATTCACGAGACTCTTTAACTCTTCACCTAACTTGATAATCAAAGACGTGAAAGGTACTCATCACTGGGTTTGGTTTTTGGGGAGACACAATCAGGTATCTAAAGAAGCCCCCACTTTGACTGAGTTTGGAGAAACGTAAGTTTCGAAAACAAAAGCCAAAGTAGTCGATAGGGATGGAGAATGATTCAAAACATTCTGCGATCCTAAATCATTATTTTAATGTCGATACCTGCAAACTAGCGTTAGTTCTACAAATAAGGGAGTTAGAAACACGTATCTTGCACCGTCGAGTACACGCATCTAGGTGACATTATGTCGAATGAAATTCATCTGGTTTGACAACCCCCACAATCTTAGCGAAAGCCGTCAAATACTGTTACATCACGAACCGTTTTCTCAAATCAAGGTGACAACCTCCACAATCATAGCGAACGCTGTCGAAGACCGCTTCATCACGAACCGCTCCTCTCAAATCAAAGTGATAACCTCCAAATCATAGAGAACGTTGTCGAAGACCGGTTCATCACGAATCGCTTCTCTCAAATCAAATGATAACCTCCACAATCATAGCGAAAGCTACCGAAATCCGCTTCATCTTGAATCGCCTTCTCAAATCAAATGATAACCTCCCCAATCATAGCGAAAGCTACCAAAGACCGCTTCATCTTGAACCGCCCTTCTCAAATCAAATGACAACCTCCCCAATCATAGCAAAAGCTACCGAAGACTTTCCCATCTTGAGTCATCTTCTCAAATCTTCTCATCTTCACTCCTAGAAGCAGTAGATCATTCCAACTTTGGAAAACCCACCGTAAAAACCTTATCTCAAGATTTTTTGAGCTTCAAATGATTTCCGTAGAAATCTTCCATCCTAGGAATTCTTTGTGATCATAATTAATCAATCACTGTTCTTATTCAATTCTCAAATGTGCTCAACCAATATTCAATCAATAATGTGATCGTCATCAGGCCGATCATTAATCAAATGTGATCGCAATCGGGCTGATCACTAGAAGGTGTTCACTCAATATGTAATCAAAATATGATCGTCATTAGGCCGATTATCAATCACAACTGTAATCGGGCCGATTACTAATCAAATCAATATCTTTGGCAAACTGCTCATCATGAGACTTCGAGTAGGGT